GGAGTGGAATTCCTGAATCATATGGTAGGTGTATGGTTAACTTAAAAAAAAAAAAGAAAAAAATGAGAAGAAGAAGAGAAGAAGACCTAGGACATGGAAATGAGACATCTCTAAGTAAGACTCTAAAATACCACGTGGGTGAGGAGACAAGAGTACCACGACCTGGCCTGTGGGATTGGTTTACCATGGTGTTCCCAGCCCTCCTGTGTGGTAATGTTCCTGTATTCCAGGTAGAGGTGACACATTTAATTTCCTGATATGGTTTGGATCTGTGTCTCCACCATATCTCATATTCAGTGGTAATTCCTAGTGTTGGAGGTGGGGCTTGGTGGGAGGCCTCAAAGGTATTTCAGAGACCTTCGCAGCAGCCCCTCCCATCACAGGCCCAGAGGCCTAGGAGGACTGAATGGTTTTGTGGGCCATGTCCAGGGCTCCCCTGCTCTATGCTGCTTTCTGCATTCCAGCTTCTCCAGCTCCAGGCATGGCTCAGAGGGTCCCAGGTATAGCTCAGGCCACTGCTCCAGAGGGTGTAAGTCTACCTTGGCAGCTTCCATGTGGTGTTAAGCCTGAGGGTGTGCAGAGTGCAAGAGCTGAGGTTTGGGAGACTTTGCCTAGATTTCAGAGGAGGTATGGAGTATCCTGGGCATCCAGGCAGAAGCCTGTTGCAGAGGTGGAGCACTTATGGAGAACCTCTACTAGGGTAGGGTGGAGGGGAAATGTGGGGTTGGAGCCACCACATGGAATCCCCACTGGGGCACTGCCTAGTGGAGCTGTGAGAAGAGGGCCCCTGTTTTACAGACCCCAGAATGATAGATTCACTGCTAGCTGGCACCCTGCATTTGAAAAAGCCACAGGCACTCAACGCCAGCCTGTGAGAATAGCCATGGGGGCTGAACCCTGCAAAGCCACAGGGATGGAGCCCAAGGCCTTGGGAGTCCACCCCTGGCACCCACCGTTAGCACCTGCTGGCAGTCATTAAATGATTTACACTCCCTACCCCCAGGTCTCCTTGTAACAGTCACCCCCAAAATTTTCAGGTTCACTCTGGCCATAAAAGTGAGATTTTGGTATTATTAGCGTCATGTTGGAATCATGTTTGGACTTGCATGGGGCCTGAAGCCCCTTTCATTTGACTCATTTCTCTCTTTTGGCATGGGAGTTTTTACCCAATGCCAATACCCCCATTGTGTCCTGGGAGTAACTAACTTATTTTTTATTTTATAGGCTCATAGGTAGAAGGGACTTGCTTTTTCTCAGATAAGACTTTGGACTTTTAAGTTAATGCTGGAATGAATTAAGGCTTTGGGGATTATTGGGAAGGCATGATTGTATATTGAAATGTGAGAAGGACATGAGATTTGGGAGGGGCTGGGGCAGAATGATATGATTTGAACCTGTGTCCCCAACAAATCACATGTCAAATTGTAATTTCCAGTGTTGAAGGGGGGCCTGGTGGGAGATGACTGGATCAGGGGGGCGGGTTTCTCATGAATGGTTTGGCAGCACCCCCTTGGTACTGCCCTTGAGATTGTGAGTGAGTTCTCCTGAGACTGGGTTGTTCAAAAGTGTGTGGCGCCTCCCCCCTCAGACTCTCTCTCTTGCTCCTACTCCGGCCATGTGATGTTTGTGCTCCTCCTTTGTCTTCCGCCACAATTGTAAGTTTCCTGAGGCCTCCCCAGAAGCTGGGCAGATGCCAGCATCATGCTTCCTATAGAGCCTGCAGAACCATGAACCAATTAAACCTCTTTTCTTTATGAATTACCCAGTCTCAGGTACTTTTTTTTTTTTTTTTTGAGACGGAGTCTTGCTCTGTCGCCCAGGCTGGGGTGCAGTGGCTTGGTCTCTGCTCACTGCAACCTTCACCTCCCAGGTTCAAGTGATTCTCCTGCCTCAGCCTCCTGAGTAGGTAAGATTACAGGTATGCACCTGGATACTTTTTGTATTTTTAGTAGAGATGCAGTTTCACCATGTTGGTCAGGCTGGTCTCGAACTCCTGACTTCGTGATCCGCCTACCTCAGCCTCCCAAAGTGCTGGGATTACAGGTGTGAGTCATCGCACCCGGCTAGGTATTTCTTTATAGCAATGCGAGAGCAGCCTAATACACCTCCCAATAACTGTGTTCTCCTAGTAGTCTTGCCATCAGTGGAAATATATTACACTATACACATCAAAGGTCCTGGGGCCTCCTGTGTGTGATGGAACATATTACATTCTCTTGGGAGTGAGGGGTGAGATTTTAGGTTAATTAAAAGAAAGCATAGGTTAAAAAAAACAAAACAAAGGCCGGGCGTGGTGGCTCAAGCCTGTAATCCCAGCACTTTGGGAGGCCGAGGCAGGTGGATCACGAGGTCAAGAGATCGAGACCATCCTGGTCAACATGGTG